AAAAAAAAAAAACCTAAAAACAACCTAACTGTTCATTGACAGGAGAATATAGCATTAAAAAAAAGCATCTTAAAAACATGTATTGAATAAAACAGTAAGTTACAGAAGAATATGTTTTATGTAATGTTCAAAGATATACAAAACCTAATAGTATGTTGTTGGGGTTGGCTATGTATATATGTAGTGGAACTGTAACCTACAGCAAGGGAATGATAAACCCAGTGTCGCTGATAACGGTCGCCCTCTACTGGAGAGTAGGGGAAGAACACCTCGGAGAGGGCATCACACAGGGAGCATCCGAGATACCCTTGATGTTCTGTTTCAAGCTTTGTGGTGGGTACTGGTGTGTTCATTTCACTGGTGACCTTATGAAATATTTATACTTGTAAAAGAATATATAAGGCATTTATATGAAAACAGAAACAAATAATTGAAGATAAGTTATAGAAAAGCATAATTTTAAAAACAAAGGGAATTAGATTAAGAAAGGGTACAACAGGTATAAACAACTCTTCCAAGAGATTTTGCTGTAAAGTGGGAGAGAAATGGGACAGTAACTGGAAGGGGATGGGAGATGGGCAAAAGTGTTGACAATAAAAGTGGTGATGGACCATGGATTCTCAGCTGCCGGAGAGACGAGAAGGATATCTGTTGAACAAAATGTAACAAAAATCTAGTTTATAATCAAGTGGAATGCCAGAAGAGACCTTAGAGATCACCTAATAGCCCCCTCATTATGCAGATACAGGAAGAGAGCCAACAGGGGTAAAGCGAGTTGTGCACCCTTATACCATTGTTCCGTGGTAGAACTCTGACTAAACCTAGGTCCCTGATTCCCAGTCCAGTATGGAGCCCATGGAAAGAGCAAGCAACATTGTGAAGGGGGAAAAAAATACTTTAGGTATGGAAGAAAAAGGAGGAGTCTAAGTTGAATCTGAGGTCTGAGCCTGGAACCTGAAAGGCAATGTATTTCATGTTACAGTGGTTAAGAATCACCTAACTTGGGAGTCTGGCAACTTCTGTACCCTGTACCAGATGAGCTGACCCTGGAGAATGTCTTTGTTTTGAGCCTCAGTTTCCTCAGCTGTAATAAGGAAATAATACCTACTTCACTGGATTATTATATTTATAAAAGCTCTAAATACAGGGTCTGACATATCTTAACAACTCAATAAATTATGGAATAGTGGTTGCTGTATGAAATGAGAAAGTTGAGAGAGAACTGATTGGTGGAGAAATAGAATGAATTTGGTTTCACACATGTATTGTTTATTTATTTGATTCATATTTTACTAATTTCCAAAGGACCTGATTTGAATTTTAGACAAATGGAATTTAAGTGCTGGTGGGACAGCCAAATGATGATTACCCGTAGGTAGCCTGAAAATGTAGAAGGTGAGTTCTGGTGACATACAAGGGCTAGAGACGTAGGGTTGCAAATTATCAACATGGAAAGCCAACTCCATCTCTATGCCGGTTAGCTCTGTAAGGATGGGAATGCTGAAGAGAGGTGGTCTGAGGACCATGCTTAGGAAGAGGAAGAAGAGGCAAGAGAAAAACAAATGTTTGGTCATAAAAGCAGGAGAGGAATCCAGAAATCAGAAGAGTATAAAGTTGTGGGAGACGAGGAATGGGGAGAAGGTTAACACAAATGCAGCACAGAGTTTAAAGGAGAGACAAACAGAAAAGCAGATTAAATTTGGCTGGCTCTCACTGGTGGCCTTTGAAAGAGCAGTTACAGTGAGATCACGGATGTGCAAGCCAGGCTGAAAGATGTAATACGAGTATATGTGGGAAGAAAATAAAAGTAAAAATACGAGCTAATGGCGTTTTGTCGGTTGTGGAGTGTGCAAGGAAGCTAAGAATGAAGATTCTCAGTCCTTCAATCTGTGAGTTCTTATGCATCACTTTTATAACAATTTCCCATAAATACAAAACTTAGGGTTTTTTCTTTTCTTTCTTATTTTTCTTATTTTGCAGCAGATGTGACACTCAACTCTCTGGTGTCCGAGGCATTTGTGAGGTTTTTTGTGGAGGTAGTGGGACATTATTCTTTGAGCATGACTGTCACTGAGCATGGGGAGCGTGTATTCCAAAGGGAACCATTCCGTAAATCCCACACCTCCCGAAGTGTACGCCACTTCCTGGATCTCTTCATGGAAACACAGATGTTTGCAGGCTTCATCCAGGACCGAGAGCTTCGGAAAAGTGGGGTGAAAGGTCAGTTTTATCATGAAGTTCTCCCCCTGTATTTAGTGAGCCCTTGGAGGGTTTGAAAATAATATAAACAGGGGCCCCTGGGTGGCTCAGTCGTTAAGCGTCTGCCTTTGGCTCAGGTCACGATCCCAGCGTCCTGGGATCGAGCCCTGTATCGGGCTCCCTGCTCAGCGGGAAGCCTGCTTCTCCCTCTCCTCCCGACCTGTGCTCTCTCTCTCT